GCCAGTCTCTTAGTGCATTTCCGAACGTGGTACACTTTCACGTACATTTCATGCCAAACAGGCTATACTTGAAATGCAACAAAAATGCAATTGATCTAACTCTAACTAATTTTTAGTTGGCGAGTGCTTAAATTACTTGGATCCGGTGGATTTGGTGATGTGTATAAAGTTGTTAAGCACGATAATCCTGATAAAACAGTAAGCACTTATCGCACGATGTAGCATCATTATATTGTTATATCCATTGAGGAATCCGCGATGAAAACAGAAATGGTATTAGGTGATCGAAGAATGTTAAGATTGAAAATTGAAGTAATGGTATTGATGAAATGTCACGAGCAGACAGATCCAAACTCTAAGCAACACTTTGTAGCATTTGTAGATCGAGGAAAAACTGCCAAATTTAAGGTACATAGTTACATTTCAAAAATATAGTCGAGCAGATTTTGCCGTTCAGTGTAATTGCACGCTTTGTGCGCTCACCACAAACCCTAGTTTCTATACATTGGACCAAATCGAATAATAATTCAATTACTCGGATAAAGTATTTAAACGCGAATCTTCGTATATTCGCAAATTCCAATTTTCATCATTCGAGAATAAATTTTGTACTATTTCGCCACATTCGGGGCATTTGCATACTTTTGATGGACTTTCTTCTCTTCTCATTAGTTTAACATATTTAAGACCGCTTACCATGACAATCATAACCTTCTACTTGTGCAGTACTCATTATCAGTTTCGATCTGTATCCACGTGGAGAAACAATGTTTTTTTACTGATATTTTTGCAAAGTTTACCTAGTTTGCTGTCAATGCTTTCCTAAGAAATGCAACTTAAAATTAATGAAAAAAACTTGACTTAATTAAGATGGATTTTCGGATGAGTGTGCAGGATGTGCAATTACACATGCGAACGGCCAAACCTATTTAATTATGATTAGATATGAATATTTCCATACTTCATAACGACCGGAGGAAAACGCGCAACAGAGGTGGATTCAAAATTATGCAAAATGGGTATTCATCTGCAGCGCCGCAACGCAACCGCCGCGCATCTTCGATCGGCCGGTCTTATGAAGTGTGGAGATAATTTGTTCAGTAAAGCGACGCAGCTGTCCGCTATCTCGGCATGTTAAAGTATGTTAAAAAATCAATATTTTAGTTTCTTGTTATGGGTTTGGTTGGAAAATCGTTGGAAGATATTCGAAGAGATGTACTCGGTCACAATTATAGCAGATCAACAGTAATGCAATGTAGTATACAAACATTAATTGCTGTGAGAGATCTTCACGGCTTAGGTTATCTGCATAGGTAATTGACGCAATTGCGGAGTTTTCAGTTGACGAATTTTCGAATTTCGCATTCTGCAGGGATATTAAACCACAAAACTATGCTGTTGGTCTCGGTGAGAAACAAAATACCGTTTATATGCTGGATTTTGGTATTGCCCGTAAATTTACAGTAGGAGAAACCAAAGAAGTCAAGTAGGGATTGGCAGTGAGTCTATTCCAATGGAAATGTCTTTAATTTTTTTTCCAGAATAGCTAGAGCAAAGGTCAGTTTTCTTGGTACAGTTCGATTTGCATCACGAGCATGTCATAAATGCATTGAGCAAGGGCGAAAGGACGATTTGGAATCATGGATTTTTATGGTGAGCATGTCGAGTTACTTCCAGGTTTTATAGTATATCTTGCTGTACTAATAAACAGATAGCGATGTGGCCTAAATCATACCGTTTCAAGTAAGCGGAGATTCTATTGATGCGCTCCGCCTTTAATCAAAACTGATTTGAGAGGGCGCACCCCTTCACACTCAGCACAATTACTAC